AAGCTAGTGAAAAATCGCCGAAACGATTTCTGGTAATGAGTAACCCATTGGCGACCGCGCTTTTCAATATTGTCCTTACATGGGCTTTTGTTTTCTCTTATAACTGTAGTTGGAAGTGAATGATTTCTGGACCACGATGCCTCAAGATTCTCTAGAAGTTTGTGAGCTCAGCTGATACTTGAAAACATGAAAAAGTTATAAGAACACTTGATAAATAATATAAATACTACAGGAGCACGGTGTGGCGTCGCCCGCCGGCGGGCCGCGTGGTCGTCAATGGGTTAAGTGAGTTCCACCCTGACTGCACCACTGTCGTCGGGTCCTACGACCTGATACGAGAGCTCCCATCCCCGTCAGTACTTTCCGAACAAGAATTCCCCTGAACACAAACTTTCCATCATTTCACAAAAAAATCGGTAATTCCGTTAACTTACAGTGCTTTTTTGGACTAGTAAGGTTACCTTGCATAACTGCATTGAAAAACTATCCTTTTTTCCATAATTTATTCACCAAAGCACTGTCTAACACGTCCAGTTGTTATTACTGTTACAGTTCTTACTTGTAAATAAATCAATTAAATCCTACTTCCTCTTCCTATTTCTTTTTACAAAAGAAAAATCGGGTATATTGCTACTTTGCAGCGCTTTTTTTGTACCAGTAACGTTACATTGTATAACTGTACCGAAAAACTATCCCTTTTCTATAATTTATGTATTCATCATGGCACTGTTGTACACGGTCTTTTGCCATTACTATTACAGTTGTTACTTGTAAATATACTGATTAGATTAAAAAAGGAATTTAGACAAAGCATATTATCGTCAACAATGCCGCACAAAACAATCAGATATGTAGTGAAGAGGAAGTATCAAAGTTTACCAGAGAAAGTATCAAAGTTTACCAACGGGAAGGTCTACTAGTAACTCGGGAAAGCGATTGATTCGAAACGGTGAACGGACGGCACACGATGAAGTGGGGGGAGTGACGCGAATGAATCGCTTACCCCCCTCACCACCAGGCTACCTCGATCGGACCCACGTAATCCTTTGTTGAAAGGCAAACAACACGTTTTGCTCGCTGTGTGCTAGTGTCTGTGTGTGTGTGTGGGATCCTAAGTGGAATATTGTCAAACATAGGCAAACATGAATCACTTCAATTCATAGACTGTGAACCGTCGAACACCCTCGACCCTGACCCCTCCACGCTTCCTCCCCATCCCGGGCTCTTCCTTGAACTAGCTGAGCCCAGTCATAATCATCTGGGAAGTAACAGAAATAAGTTCCCCAACGAGCCGTTTACTAGTTCTGCTAACAAGATGGAAGAAATCGGCTTATGAGTTGACGTCCATACATTCGACGATTGCCCGTTTCAAACTGATTGTGCTACCAGTTGCGAGAATTCCGCCTATGGAAATGAATATGGGTATTCATTCTATTCAGAAATATGGAGGCTATTGAATGCGAAAGGAGCCTACACCATAAAATATTCAGACAAGTGTTCCGTCCGGCCCGCTTATGCTTCCTGCTCTGGCCTGGCTTTCATAATTTTTTCTTGGCATAGTACTGGCCCCTATAACGTCAAGGGGGTTACTGTGAAAAAGAAAATGGTTAAAAAATAAAAATGAATGCGGATCAGTTTTAGTAAATAAAAAATAAATAATAGTTAATAGCGAAAGATAAATAGGTTTCCTGTTTCAAAAGACTCCGAATTGATGAGGCATTTTGTGATTTCTAGTGGTCAAAATAGTTTCGAAAAGGCTTATTTTCACAGGTCTGATGCTTTTGAATCAGCATTTACAGGAAAATAAACGAACAATTAAATAATGATAAACAAATAAATAAACAATGAGTACTGCCACTGGATGATAGATCTGACATGAACATACATAAACGAGTTTATGCTAGAACTAGGTTCAAAAAATGCGATTGTACTAGGATTAGGGCTGCAGCACCTTTACCTATTTAGATATTGGGAATCTGAATAAACAATGCCGAGAACAAACAATGAATAGTGGACGGAGAGTAAAGAATAACTGAAAAAATACGATGTCAGAAACCTTTGAAAGGAACTACGATCTTTTCAGACGGGGGCGCGGGAAGGAAGGCGGAGTTCGTGCGAGACTAGGTACACATTCTCGATTTCAAAACCGTTAGACGTCAGAAATCATAAAGTATCTACTAAGCCTTCGTTTGCTAGCTTCGATAGCTGTATTGATTGGGAATATCGGTTTTTGTATAAAGGGCAGAAAACGATAAATGGGTTACAACGTAGAGCGAACACAGCCGTCAAAGTTGAAATTTCACAGGATCACAGACTATCGATCGCATTCGAAAGGTTCCGCGCGCGCGGTAATCGCCAATCCGTTCATGGTAGTCGCCATTCCATACTGGAGATCCATGTTTGGGAGATCAAAATCGTGCCCAGTAATCGATGACTACTTGTAGT